AAAAGTTTGTGAAATAAAAGGTAAGTGAGTACTGACTTATAGACATAGGGGCCCATCTCCCTGACCACAGGAACGGCACCTTCAGAGAACTCATTCGGATTTTGAATGTCAAACAAATAGACTTTTGTTAACAAAGGAATCGGTAGTTCTTGCCTTTATATAAAAAATATTTAATTTAGTAATTTATTCAGGATTACAAATAAAAGCAAATAAAAAACAAAAATAACTGATTTCTAACTAAAGTGAACCAGTTAATTCCGCATAAAAAAGCTGTTTGAAACGTAAAAACAAATTGCAATTTATTTATTGTATATATTTCTATAATAAAACTAATGGCACAGAATATTATGTTAAATGAAACCAATGGTTACACACAATAATAAAATAAATTAAATAATTAATTCAATACTATTACCAGTTCTTGAAAATAAACTTCCCTTCCGTTAGCTTGAAGTTCATGTCCAGTCCTAAAGTTATTTGATTAAAATACACACAAAACACAAACAAAAGCACAATATTTAAAAAATAATTCAATACTATTACCAGTTCTTGAAAATAAACTTCCCTTCCGTTAGCTTGAAGTTCATGTCCAGTCCTAAAGTTATTTGATTAAAATACACACAAAACACAAACAAAAGCACAATATTTAAAAAACAATTAAGATAATAATTTAATACAAAAATAAACTTATTTACTGACCGACGCCTAACAGCATAGGGAACACAACGGCCAGGAAAGCACCGGTAACTACGAGCCCTACCCCTGAGATGAGTACAAACTCGGGCTTCCGGTTCTGTGAGAACTCTTTCACTTTATGTATCATTCGTTGCATTGCTTTCAATCTTCTAAAAGTTTGGTACAACTCTACAAAATAGCACCAAAGTCTCAGTGCTATCGCAAAATTCATAACACATTCTCACTGATCATCAGTGCATAGGGTGAGGGTAGGAGCACAGGTAGGGTATACCGTATAGAAACTGCCAACGGGTGTAAACAACAAGCAGATATAATTATGGTAGTCTATATTCAAATTCTTGGAAAACGTATGCTTTTTCTTTTTCCCTCACAAACTACCTCTGAGTCTATTATTTCAAAAATATTTTACTGTGTTTTGAATGTCAAGTTCGCTATAGTCTTGAAACATATCTTTTCTTCATTATTACTGTATATATCGTGTGATGTTTTATTCGCTTCATTTGATTTCGGTTTCTATGCCTTCGCGTGACTTTAATTTCTATGAGAATATTCTCTTATTAGTCATTAAAAGAGAATATTCTTCGCTAT